TGCCCCAAAAAAGTGCAGACTCTTATACAGAGAACTTAAGAGACTGGGCCCTGATGTGGCCTTTTTACAAGAAACCCACCTACCCAAGACCCTGGGCATAACTCTCAAGGATCACATCTATAGCACAGGCTACGAGGCTAGGTCACACTCCAAACGCAATGGTGTCGCGATACTAATACATAAACGATGCCCACTGCGAGTCACAGGAGTCCACACAGACACGGACGGAAGATACCTTATCCTGACAGGGACGCTATTTGCTCACACCTTCCATCTCATAAACATTTATGCTCCCACCGACCCTTCCAGGGACTTCTGGGACCAATTGGCTGACAAATTAAAAACCCTGCCTCATGGTATGCTTATCATGGGGGGCGACTTTAACGCCGCCCCATGCCCGGCTATAGACAGAGGCACCATACGAGGTTTACCACGCTCACACGGCAGGGGGAGACCAGACAGACTGATTCACGACTTCCTCTGCACTACGGGTCTGATAGATGTGTGGAGGGCCCACCATCCGGGAGAAGCAGACTATACGTTCTATTCTGCGCCACATGACTCGTACTCCCGTATTACTTTTTAGTAAACGATCAAGCCATTCCAAAGATCACGAAGTCCTCAACAGGATCTATCACGTGGTCTGACCATGCAGACATCAGCTTAGCATTAGGAAACCTCTGTACCACGACCCAGTGAAATTTGAAACTCAATACTTCCCTATTGCAAGACCCTACTATTAGAGAGACTATTCGCAAAGAGATAGTAGAATATTTCCAACTCAACTCCTCCCAAGAGCTAATGGGCTGCTCACAAAGCGGTTATCAGAGGCACACTAATAATGGAAGCCACCAGGAAAAAGAACCTGAAAACGAAACGCCTAAAGTCCCTCTTAGGTGACTTACATACACAAGAGCAGAGACATAAAACCAACCCCACCCCAGATGGGCTTCTGGCCCTACAGACTACCCGACGCCATATAAAGGAGACTTTAGTGGCCGACGTAGCGAAGGCTATGCTCTGGTCTAAGAGAACATATTATGAACAGGCTAACAAAATGCACACGTTTCTGGCTCGCACCCTACGCCCACGCCCACGCCGAACACATATCACCACAATCAGAGATCGCACAGGTCAGATCAAAACTGCACCGGCAGACATAGCTCGGATATTCAACGAGTTTTACACTACCCTATACAATCACACACCCACCGAGGTTGACAAAGCACCGCACCTACGAGACGAGATAAGACAATACCTGGGCAAAATTGACCTCCCGAAGCTGACCCCTATAGCAATAGAGTCCTTAGGAGACGAAGTCACAGAAGACGAGATAGATAGAGCGATATCACGCCTCAAAGGGCATAAGGCCCCGGGCCCCGACGGCTATGAGGGCAGCTATTATAAAACATACCGAGAAGAACTGACACCGCACTTACTCAAGTGGTTCAACTATTTGATGCAGGGCGGACGGCCAGACCCAGACATGTCCACGGCCCATATAATACTATTACCCAAACCCGGAAAAGATGCAACATACCCTGAAAATTACAGACCTATATCATTGATCAACCAAGACGTTAAAATACTAGCCAAGATACTAGCGGACAGACTATCTCCACACTAACACACCTAACACACCTAATCCATGCAGACCAGGTGGGCTTCGTCCCTGGAAGACAGTTATTTGAAAACACCAGACGCAACATTGACTTAATCTGGACGCAGACGATCACGCACACACCAACGCTCATTCTATCTCTCGACGCCGAAAAGGCGTTCGATAGGGTAAACTGGACATACCTGTTCGAACTCCTTCGACATCTCCACTTCCCCGAGCAGTACATAACCACGATCCAAGCCATGTACACAGACGTCAAGGCACACATTCAGATTACGGACGCTCAGACAACCCCTTTCAACTTACACAACGGCACGCGACAGGCTTGCCCGCTGTCGCCCCTCCTGTTCGTCCTCACACTAGAGCCCCTACTACAGGTGATCAGATTAAACCAATCAATTCAAGGAATGTCAGTGGGGGACCAAACATATAAAGTATCGGGTTATGCGGACGACGTCCTCACGCTCACAACCCCAAGGACCTCAATGTTAGCCTTAGATAAAGAATTAGCGGAATACGGAGCCTTATCGGGATATAAGGTCAACCTGTGCAAATCTGCCGCACTCCCAATAGCAATGACAATGCACGACGCTACGTACATAAGAACCCAACACCACATACCTATAGCGCAAACTTCCATAAAATACTTGGGAATACAACTAACCGCTGACCCCACAAAACTAACACCCTTAGTGCAGACCTCGACAGATGGACAGACAAGCCCATATCCTGGATAGGACGGGTCCATACGATAAAAATGAACATCCTCCCGAGACTCCTCTTCCTTTTTCAAGCACTCCCCATACCCATAACTAAAACGGAACTAGCCCCCTTGCAGAGGTCCATAGGGGATTTTATTTGGCAACGCAAGCGCCACAGAGTAGCACGCAATGTACTGTATAGACCCAAAGAGGGGGGTGGACTAGGCCTCCCCCATCTCTATAACTACTATTTAGCGGCCCAACTGGCTCAAATAGCTATGTGGCACTCGACACCGGACGACCGCAGATGGGCGGACTTAGAATCAGGAATCACGGGAGCTGACCTGCCCCAATTTTACATGTGGCTTCCCAGGGAACACAGGGCTATCCTGCGCACCGATTGCCCTGCGATCCTAAATTCCCTTAGGATCTGGGACGCAGTGGGCCAAAAATACAAACTAACCACATCACCCTCTCCTCTGATGCCCCTGTTGAGGAACAGAGCGTTCCCACCGGGAATGAGGGCCCGAGACTTCAGAAACATTGAGGTAGCGGGCCTACAGCGAGCGATCCACCTGTATGAAGGTGAAATAGTGACATTTGATAAGTTACAGGAACGCACTAGGCTAAGGCCCCCCGACTTTTTTCGCTATATTCAAATCCGAGACTTTGCACAACACAATCTGGCCAAAACGGCAGCACAAACTGCGCCCACAGGCTTTGAACGAATGTGTCTCAATGAAAACCCCCCAAAGGGACTTATTTCATACCTATACACACATTTATGCACAAACAGTGATTGGGGCGACTTGACCTACACCGTCCACTGGGAAACAGATCTCAAAGAGACCCTAGAGGGCACAGAGTGGAGAGAAATATGGGACACAAACAAAGCTATTTCAGCGTGCGTTACCCACCAGGAACAGGCCTATAAGACCATGCTGCGCTGGTATACCACCCCAGTAAAATTATACCGTATGCGTAAAACCCCAAACGACTTGTGTTGGAGAGGCTGCGGAACCAAAGGGACGTACATCCATATGTGGTGGGACTGCCCGAGAGCGCAGGCCTTCTGGAAGGAAGTGGGCAACCTCTTAAATAGGGTTTTTCACAGACAAGTAACAGTAGACCCATGGGTTTTTCTGCTCTCCAGAACACTAGAAGACTGGCCCAAAAA